AACTAAAACCCTAAAAACCTAAGGGTAAAAGGAATTAGAAGTTAAAACTTACAGTTGAAAACCTACAGTTGAAAAAAGTGTGGTGCTAACACGATGTGTACGCAACGAGTACTAAAAGGTGAATGAGCGGAGAGGGGCGTGGGTCGAGTAAGATAGACGCGGGTAGCGGGAAATTCAAATATTATTCTTTAAACAGTGCGCACAGTACTACATGGGTGTACTACATGGTGTATAATCTAAGTGATATTGAGGATTGGACACTGATATATAATTCGTGTGTACGGTGAAATTATAAAACCCTTTGGATCGGTAACAAACCGTTTGCTGACATATGTTTATATGAACTTTTAGTCATAAAATAAACCAGAGAATTAGTTTTTACATCCTTTTGGGAACACCCTGTAGATATCTGAAAAAACGTCTTTTATATTAAACTTACTCCAAAATTGACGTAGACTATAAAAAAGAATTTAACTAGAGCATTCCACTTAAAATAACGAAGTGTGAGCCAATTTCCGTCGTATACAATTGAAAATAGTTTACATAAACGTGGTCATGAAATAACCTATATGAAAACCACAGTTTCAGAAATCTGGTCACATTCGGTTCTTATATAATACTTAACAACTGATTCAGCTCGTTGCTGCATGTTGCTCACGGTCTGCACCTGTTATTAACTTTAATCAGAAAGTTTGTATTATTGCTAAAATTATTCCAGCTTCAATCGTATCAGCCTGCCTACTACGGGAGCAATTGTGGCACCAGTGATATAATCATACAAAAATATACGGTATTCCATTCAATTCTTGTAAAACCCTCAATAATTTGCAAATGTGTATTTTTAACGTCTTACCTTCGACGAAATGCTGCAGACACACAGAGATGGAAATATGAATAACCAACAGATACTGATGTACTGATTAGGTACTCTAGAAGGCTAACCTAACGATTGCACATTCTTTCAGTTTTTGACATTTTTAGCGAAGGGGTCCCTTACAATAAATTACCATTATAAATACGAAGCAAATATAGACCCTTATTTTCTGTATGTACATAAATAAGATTTATGTCTTACCAAATATGTACAACTCCCTAGGGTTTCAGTTCTTCAGCAGACATATTTCATTTTACGAACATAAACACACCAATCCCATTTTCATACTAAGTAAGGTACGTGATAAATTTAAATCAAGGGATCTCTAGCTTTCTACCGTGGTTTATGCAATCACGCGGCATTAAGCAAGATGGGTTTATAGTGTAGGTGCTCTCGGTATCTATGATACACTGTGTAATTAATATTTATATCACATAGTCTGTAAAGTAGCTACAAGAACGTTACAAAAGCGGATTTGGCTAGGTACACGTTTGCGAATATATAGTCTGGTTAAGCTTAACAAAATATTGAAAAGATCTTAGAAGGATTCTCCAAAAATAAATCGAGGATATCTTTTGTAAATATACCTAATATAGTGTATAAACTTAATAAGACCAAAGAACTGCCTATCTAGTGTAGCCTAAGTGTGTTTCTCCTAGAAATGTATATAGGTTTCACTCTATTCACTTATAGATGGAAATAACGAGTACATCCTTCCCAATAACTATAAAAGTATCTGATGTACCTATACATAATAGTGTGCATCTTTGGAATATGTAAACTAAAAATAGGCCACAGCTGTAATCGTTTGATGAATGAAATCCTCAAAAGTCAACTGCTTGATCGAAATTTCCATGTCGTGCAAGCTATTGAATTTAATTTCCGGTTGTAATGGGACCATAATGAGCAATCCGAGGATGTTACTCGCTTTTGTAAACAAAAGTATTAGTACTTATCTACGAATATTATATCTTAACTTACGCCACTGCCGCCACCTAATTACGTTAACATCAAGAAAATAAAAGATAATTAACCTAGCTCATAATTGCGCAACCCCTGATTGGTTGTTCTCTTAGGAATTGAAAATTTATACTTACTTGTGGAGTGGTGTCCGTCCTATTTATCAATCAATCGAAGAGCATATTTTAAATCTCTACTTTTAGTATGACTCAAAAAACATAATAATTCATCTGAGTGGACAAATTCTCGATTGTTACCTAAAATGCGTTTAGATCGAACTACTACTGATTTTTTGTATACCAAGTTCAATATGCACGTAATAGTATTTTACATTATTAGCCAGGTAAGTGAGTTTTTACTGGCGATAGGAGAAGTTGACTGGCGAGCCGTCAGGCGAGCCTGTCATCTCCTAGAGCCAGTAAT